AGGAGCAATAGTACTTGTATTTGTAATAGTGCTAGTACTAGTAATCGTAGTAGTAGTAGTAGTAGTAGTAGTAGTAGTAGTAGTAGTGGTAGTAGTAGTAGTAGTAGTAGTAGTAGTAGTAGTAACAACAGTAGCAGTAGCAGTAGCAGTAGCAGTAGCAGTACCAGTACCAGTAGCAGTAGCAGTAGCAGTAGCAGTAGCAGTGGTAGTAGTAGTAGTAGTAGTAGTAGTAGTAGCCGAAGTACACTTGCCAAAAAGACGCCTAACACTGACAAACCCACATACTCCTCTGCGTCGGCAGGGTCGATGTTGACATATGTCAAGAGATCCTGTGGTACACGGAGCTTACGAACTTGATCGCGCAAATTGAGAACTTGAGGCTGTCCCGAACAATGAATGCCCCCTCTTGTAGGGATTCCTATCATGATCAACTCTGATTTCTTCCTTCCATCGGTGCTGTGAGAAGGAAGCCGGGTGCTCAAAACGATTCGGCAGGTCATGAAGGACCTGTGCATCTACAACCGGTCTTTCAGAGCCTGCAGGGTCTATCGATTGGGGTTCTGGGTTTAGGAGCTTTAGGTTTATGGTTTAGGGTTTAGGGTTTAGGGTTTAGGAGCTTTAGGTTTATGGTTTATGGTTGAGGGCTTACAGCTCTAGGCTTCTACGGCTTGTGGTTATTTTCCGCTCAGCGAGCTGCTAGTGAAATGCCAGCTCTTTGAATGCAACGAGGGCCAGTGTCGGTTGGCCAGGACGTACTTGTCCAGGTTCGAACAGTTCGACAAACCGAATCCCAAAGCTTTGCAGAAATGTCCTCATTGCCCTTGGGTGGCTTCGTGGGGCCCACCTCAGCACACCGATCTCCTTATGTCGAGATCCTCGAGTCGTGCTACGTTTAGGCTTAAGGATTTTGCGGGCTTTGAGTTTTGTGTAGCGTTGAGGGTCCTGGGGTATAGGGTATAATATGCCAATAAACAACAGGAAAGGGAGCAGCACTAGAGATGGCAATGATAATCGTAACGGTGATAGCAGCGGTCGTTATAGCAATAGCAGTGCTAAAGCAACAGCATCAGCGGCAGCAGCAGAAGTAGCAGCAGTAGAAACAAGATCATGCTAGCAACGGTGGCGGTGGTAGAAGAAGTAGCAGTAGCAGTAGCAGTAGCAGTAGCCCTAGCACCTGCAGAAGTGGTGCGCTAGCAGGCGTTGCCGTGACAGTTTTCGTCGTCGTAGAAGAAGAAGAAGCAGCGGAGTAGCAGTAGGAGCAGTACGAGTAGCAGAAGCAGAGACAACCATCATCCGAAAGAGTGTGGCCTTCGCAGCTTTTCAGGCTCCTCTGCCTGGTCGTCTGCGGCTTTTGAATGCTCGTCAATGCGGATGTAGCGTTTAGGGTTTAGGGTTTAGGACATTATTCTACTCTACTCCCGTAGAGACGGACAAACAACTTCCGATTCCTGCCCGGTTCCTTCCTGGGGACTGGAACATCCGTGTAGCCAGGCCACGCAGACGCCCGTCCACCCGAGCTTTGTCAAGAAGTCGCTGAGCTGCTCCTCACAAAGTCTTCGGACAAATGTAAAGTAGAGTAAACACACTGCCATCTTGGCACTCATTATCGTCGTAATCGTAATGGCATATGAACACCATGCACTTATGCTACATGTGCCTGCATCCGTAGTTCCCCAAAGGTCTAAAACGCGAGGCTCGAAATCGTCAACTCATGATTAACAATGGCAGCTGCGCGAAAACATCAGTTCCGAATTCATGCGATGGGCATTCTTGTCACTGATGCACTGGTGCTGCTCTTGACCTTAAAACCTTGAGCAATCAAGGACCCCATTCTCTGAAGGCTCCGTCAGAGTGTGGGTGCCGATGTGGAGAAAAACCTCAGCAAAGACGCGCACACACAGGGCAGCTGCTGCAACCCTATCAGACTAATCGCAATTTGCCCTGAATGTCATCCAACACCCCACCCCACCCCCCACCCCCCACAAACAAAAACTTAAACACAACTCGTTCAGACATGGGTGCACAGGGCTGTCGCCGCTTCTTCGGGCGCTGCATCAGCGGACGCCAAGTGGGCTCCTGGGCGCGTAGTAGTTGTCGTAGTAGTAGCTTTTGTCGTAGTAGTTGTTGTAGTAGTAGAAGTAG